CCATCGGATTCAGCACAAAATTCCAGACTTCACAGGAGAACTTTTTAAGAAAGGCTTTATATAACGCCGAGAACTGGCTGTCTCCTCAGACAGCGGAAGAGCTGAGAAAAGTAGTCCCTTCTCGACGTTTCTGCGGAGGGATCCATCTTGCGCGGCACTACCGATTGCTATATAAGGAGGCGCCGGGCGTGGCGCAGGCAGTTCGGTGCACAGCCAGGCTTCTGTCGCTGTACTTCTCTCCGTGTAGCTGCCGCCGTCACTTGGTGAGGAGGGTTAGCTACGCTGGCCGGGCCTTTTGTGGTTGCCCCGGTGCTTGCGGGGCGGGGGAACGGGGAGCTGGTAGCGAAGCAGTCCTTCGCGGGTGAAGGGCAGCCGAGGCTTTTAGTCGCTCGGAGCTTGGGAGCCGAGCGGCCCTGAGTGGTGGGGGTGGGGAACGCCGCAAAATGGCGGCCGGCTCCGTTCCGCCGCCGGCCTGTGAAGCGGCCTCTGAGGGCTGAGAGGATACGAGGGGGCTGCGGGTGGAGAAGAAAGAGCGAAGATTTTGGCTCCTTAGCGGGGGGAGAGCGCAGTTTTAGGGCTGGTCTGTGTCGGGGTTTCGAGTGTGAAGTCTGTCACGTAACCTTCCCGGTTAGAAATCTCGGTTTCTCGACGCCGCGAGCGGGGCACCGGCCAGGTCGGTGCCCCTCAGGCCGCCCTGCCCCCGCGGCGGGGGCGCGCGCTGGCGTGACGTCACCCGGGCGCGGGCGCACAGTGCAGGGTGGGGCCCCCTGGCGGTGTGCGCGGTGGGGGCGGGTCGGCTCCAGGCGCAGGGCTCCGGCCTGGCTTCCGCTGGTGGCGTGCGCGGGACAGACGGCCGCAGGGGGCTTGGGCTGGTTTCGCAGCTCTTCGGGTGTGAGTGACTGAAGCTCGGGTGTTTTACTTGGTCAAGGGAGTTTTGGTCCGCATCTTGGGGCATGATAGTATATTGGGTATTGGGGTGACTTTGGTTAAATAAGGTCACGTTGGTTTCAAGTGTAACAATACGTGATGTGGGTAGTGCGCTGTGTTAGGCAAGGTTCTGTGTTACGTAGCAGTGCAAAATGACATTTCATTTGTAGCCTTAGAACTGTTGAAATGTGACTTGACTGCTAAACTGTTGGGGGGTTTGTTTGTTTCATTTTCTCCTTCTATCAGACAATGCAGATCTTCGTGAAGACCTTGACCGGCAAGACCATCACCCTGGAGGTCGAGCCCAGTGACACCATCGAGAATGTCAAGGCCAAGATCCAAGACAAGGAGGGCATCCCCCCTGACCAGCAGCGGCTGATCTTTGCCGGGAAGCAGCTGGAGGATGGGCGCACCCTGTCCGACTACAACATCCAGAAAGAGTCCACCCTGCACCTGGTCCTGCGCCTCAGAGGGGGGATGCAGATCTTCGTGAAGACCCTGACCGGCAAGACCATCACCCTGGAGGTCGAGCCCAGTGACACCATCGAGAATGTCAAGGCCAAGATCCAAGACAAGGAGGGCATCCCCCCTGACCAGCAGCGGCTGATCTTTGCCGGGAAGCAGCTGGAGGATGGGCGCACCCTGTCCGACTACAACATCCAGAAAGAGTCCACCCTGCACCTGGTCCTGCGCCTCAGAGGGGGGATGCAGATCTTCGTGAAGACCCTGACTGGCAAGACCATCACCCTGGAGGTCGAGCCCAGTGACACCATCGAGAATGTCAAGGCCAAGATCCAAGACAAGGAGGGCATCCCCCCTGACCAGCAGCGGCTGATCTTTGCCGGGAAGCAGCTGGAGGATGGGCGCACCCTGTCCGACTACAACATCCAGAAAGAGTCCACCCTGCACCTGGTCCTGCGCCTCAGAGGGGGGGATGCAGATCTTCGTGAAGACCCTGACCGGCAAGACCATCACCCTGGAGGTCGAGCCCAGTGACACCATCGAGAATGTCAAGGCCAAGATCCAAGACAAGGAGGGCATCCCCCCTGACCAGCAGCGGCTGATCTTTGCCGGGAAGCAGCTGGAGGATGGGCGCACCCTGTCCGACTACAACATCCAGAAAGAGTCCACCCTGCACCTGGTCCTGCGCCTCAGAGGGGGGGATGCAGATCTTCGTGAAGACCCTGACCGGCAAGACCATCACCCTGGAGGTCGAGCCCAGTGACACCATCGAGAATGTCAAGGCCAAGATCCAAGACAAGGAGGGCATCCCCCCTGACCAGCAGCGGCTGATCTTTGCCGGGAAGCAGCTGGAGGATGGGCGCACCCTGTCCGACTACAACATCCAGAAAGAATCCACCCTGCACCTGGTCCTGCGCTTGAGGGGAGGTTTCTAAGTTTCCCCTTTTAAGCTTTCAACGCATATAATTGCACTTTGTTTCAATAAAGTTGTTGCATTCCAATGTAGTGTGATTTTTTTTTTCCTCCTTTGCCAGTGTTAAGTAAGGTTTTTAAAAAACTTATAATGGGATTTGAGGGGTAAAGGGTTTAAGTAACATCCTGTGGTAATAGGTTAGAATTGCCAGTGGGGGGTGGCCTAAATTTAGAACTGCATTTGGGTAAGAAAAAATAAATTGGATGTTGTAGTTAAGACTTCCCCTGTGTGCAGGTAAATGTAGATTTATTAGTAAAGTACTGACTTGAAAAGTACTGAGGTTGGTCATGTCATGAGGTATCTCGGAGTGGGAAGGTTTTCTGGGAATACCAGAACAGAATTGTGATTTTTTTAAAGGGTGGGGGTGGTTGTAAGGAACATACAGAAGAACCAACTTTAATAACAGCGCTCAAAGTCACAGGTGCATAGAAAATCATTTGGCCTGGTCAGACTTAATGGGTGGTTGGTATTTAAGTCTCTACTTGTGCATCATTTAGTGGTTATTTAAGAAAAGAAAGCTGATAGGAATATATTTGGTAAAGGCTCAAGATTTCTCAATTTTATGTGACTTTAGATACAGGATTTCTATATAACTTAATTGGTGGTGGGTGAAGCTAACTTAATTGGTGGTGGGTGAAGCACTTGGCCTTCCCTCTTCATTTTGCAGAAGTTCACAGTAGTGGCACTTACACAATCATAATGCTGGTAAGGAATTCTGTATTTCATAAGGGGAGCCCAAGGACATTTGCAGGGAAGCTGGCTTAATATAAGGAATAGGCACCCGGAAATCAGGCCTGTTGGAGGACTTAAGGTTGTACCAGCCCCTTCACTGCTTCCTTCCACTCTTGAGTTTTAGGGTATCCCTTTGTAGCATCATGTAAGGGTTTTCACTAGTTCTAAAATACTTGAACTCAGCAGATTGACCACTGTAGGATAGGAAGGAATTACTGCAAATTTCTTACGTGATGAGTCCTTCAGTGTTCCAAGTATAAGAAGTTCAGTGGCTAGTTAACAGTTGAAAATAAGGGGCTGGGTCATCTCAGTTACACCTGATGTTCTGGGATATGAGATGGGAGGCAAATGGAGACCTTGCTTGCATTTTGCAGAGCTGGCAGGATCTTGGGTGCACTAGAGAGCCTGGGTGTTGCAGAGGTGGGGGAGCTCCAAAGTCCACTGAACTTTTGGCTCCTTGAACTAGCATGCTGCTGTTAAGTGTGAAATTGATAATCACAAATAAGCACATAAACAGATGTAGCCCTGAAGGGTAGTTCTGTGGGCAGACCAAAAAGTCGCTGGGTTGATTCCTGATCAAAACTTGTCTGGGTTACAGGGGCCTGAAAGGCAAGCAGTCTCTTACCCTCAAAGAAAGTTGCATTCAAGCTTATTCCCAGGAAAAAAATGAGTTAGGCATGTATTTCTCTCATAGTACATATGTTGTGTTTTATAAAAGGTAATCCACCTAAATTCCTAATTGCCTGTTTTTACTTCCCTGTGATAACTTTTTTTAAATTGATTTTGGAGAGAGAGGAACATCGATTTGCTCCACTTAATGCATTCATTGGTTGATTCTTTTATCTGGGATTGAACCTAGATAACAAGTTCAAGCTCTGATCTGGGATTGAACTACAACCTTGGCCTATTGGCCCAGTACTCCAACCAACTCCAGGGTGATGACTTTTAGTTAAAATTGCATTTTTGGACTTTTGGTGTAATACACATGCCATATGCATACATGTAGACACAAATAGAGCCATTCACAGCACAGTTTCTCAGCTTAGTCCAAGAAAAGGGGTATGTTTCTATTTTCATGCACTTTTAAGTTCCAACTTGAAATCACAGTAAATTCGATTCTTGGTCATAAAGGCTTGCTTTACACATTCACATGTCGCCAAAGTCTGCAGCCATGTAAGACATCACAAGGATTTAACTCCGATTTTCCATCAGCTTTTTTTTTTCCATTTATTCAAGCACAGTTACCTTCATTTTTCTGCCACCGCTTTCCTCTGCCGCCACCTCCCACCCAGTCCTACCCCTTTTGCTTTGTCCATGGGTCCGTTACACACACTGCCTCACTCTTGGTAATGCTTTTGCTAGTATTCCACGGTACGGGTGTGGTGTGATCTGTTTAACCTTGTATACCCGCGTTTGTTCCCAGGTGATGGCTGTTACTGTGCTGCTGCCAGGGGTACATCCTTATTTTGAAAGGATAGTTTAGATACGAGAGGCCTACTTAATAAGGTTGCTGGGCAAGATTAAAAGTCACCAACCTACAGGAACAAATATAAAGGACACATGGACAAAAACTGGAGGGGGGGGGATGGAAATGGTAAGGAGGTGGGGAGGGCTGGGGGGTGTAGGTGGGAATGGGAGGAAAAGACAGGAAAGTACTTGGACAACAATTAAATTTTTTTAGAGTGCCCTGGCTGGTGTAGCTCAGTGGCTTGACGTAGGCCTGTGAACCAAAGAATTGCAGTTCATTCCCAGTCAGGGCACATGCCTGGGTTGCAGGCCAGTTCCCAGCAGAAGACGTACAAGAGGCAACCATACATTGATATTTCTCTCCCTCTTTCTTTCCCTTCCCCTCTAAAGATAAATATTTTTTTAATTAAAAAAATTTTTTTTAAAGTCACCAACCTCAGTGCTCCCTCCGGTAGCACATTTATTAAAATTGGAACGGTACAGAGAACAGTAGGGTGGCTTCTGAGCAAGGACAACATGCAAATCTGTGAAGCTTACGTACTTTTTTATTTAAAGCGTTAGAACTTATTTTTGTAATTTAATTTGTGACTACTATATTTGTTACTGCCCCCTATCTTTTGATTCTTCTAATAGGTAACACGTCCGTGTGCTTCAGACGTGGGAAAAGCGTAAAAGCGTGTGGCAAGAAGACGCCCATCCGGTCTCCCGCCCACCCACTGTGCCCTTCGCAGTTCCCCAGTGCACACGCAAACAGCGGTGACTCCCCCTTCACACAGAAGGTAGCACCCCGCACCTTGCTGCTTTGCTTTATATCTTCCATACATCCTTTCATTTTGAATAAAGGAAAAATACCTTTTATGTAATTGTCTCAAGAACAAAGAACGCCACCAGGGCAACACAACCCATAGGGAGCAATCACAACTCTCTCCAAGAAATACAAGCGTGTCCGGAGTTACAGTGACTGAGTGGTGGATGGCAGGCTCCCGGCACCAAGGAGTCCTCAGTCCAGGGAGATGCGGGGCTTGATTGGGTCTATTGAATGACCGTGAAGCCTGCAAATACCCCAAAGTTTGGTTTCACATCATGTAAGGGTTCATCGGTATAGATGCAAGTGTGTGAGCCTTGAATACAAGGGGGGAAAATGTGTGCCTTGTAGATTTAGTAGATTTATTGTCCCTTTTTACGTTTTCTCTGAAGGTACAACAAGATCCTCACCAAATTACAAATACAGCTTTCAAAGAAGTATTGTTTACAGAGGGCAAGGCCTTTGGATCAAAAGATGGCATTTTCGTCTGCAGTGCTCATTTCTGCCAGAAGAGGGAGGAGCTGGGACAGATGCGTGTAGTTGGGAAGCCTGCAGCGTCCCCAAGTGGTGGTGGCTGATCAGGTAATTTATGTGTTTACCTATCTTGCCGTACAGAGGCTTGTTTACTCTCACCAGTCAGATGTTTTATTCTTTCCCGTTTCCCCAGTTCTGTAGCCCCCTCCGTTGCCACCCCAGCTGGAATTACTCCGTAACATGTAATGGGGCCGTCACTGGACACAGACCCTCTCTGTCTTACCTTCTTCCATCAGATCTAACCCTTCCACGTGTTCTTCTCCCTGTTGCCCTTGTCTGCCGGCTGCTTTCTTCCCAGGCCTTCCCAGACATTTTGCACGTCCCTCCTCCGCGCAGGTTGCTTCTGCTTTCTGAAGTACCACCATGCCCACCTCAGCAAATCAAATTCTACCCAATGTCAAGATCTGACTCAGAGATTCCCCAACACCTCCCCTGACTGTGCCGCCTGGAAGTGGTCTGTCTTCCCTGAAACCTTCCAGCCCTTGCTGTTTTACTGAAGTTCTTGATTCAAATGGGATAGCTCTGTTCCTTTTTTTTTGTTATTATTACTATTATGTATTTGGATTCATTGGGGTGATATTGGGTAATACAGTTACACAGGTCTCAGGGGTATGGTTCTCTAAGACATCATCTGCATATTGTGTATGTTCACGGCCCCCGGCCCTATTCCTTTCTTTGGTGATAAACAGCAATTGCACACAGCAGCTGAGACAAGCAGTTGAATGAGAGAGGGCTGCGGTCCCATCTGCGATCAGATGGGCAGGAAAAACGGGTGGATGCGGCCTTGCTGAACGGGGTGAGGGTGGGGGGCAGCAGAGTAATGCAGGAGCCTTGGGACCGGCAAAGAGCTGGGCATGTTTGAGAATCAGAGAGCTACCAGCCTGGGCGAGGTGGGGCCGCGGGGCTTTCGGTGGGTTTTCGGTGGCTGGTCTGGAGGGGCCCAGGCGCTGGGGCGTTTGTAAAGGTGGGAGCCACTGTCTCACACTCTCACTGTCACTAAACAGGTGAAACAGTTTCTAACCCAACCAGTACCAAAGAATTGTACTGAAGAAAAGTGCGTTCAAATATATTTTAAAAAAATAATAACTTACCCCAGTTCCCACTTGCAGTCTTATTTGTAGCAAATACAGGTTTCCGTTTACTCAAAGCCCTGGAGCCCCTGCTGCATCAGGATGCTCTGAGTAGCAGGGAATTCAGCCCACGGCCTGACTCCTCTGGCATGTGCGTCATCTTTGCATCAGGACACTGAGGGCTCCCGGGCTTGGCCTCCGCCCGGTGGTCCGTTTTCCCTCAGGCTGTGAGCGTGTGACGGGGCCCTTCCAGACATCACGCAGACCCAGAAATATCCAGAAGGAGGAAAGAAAACATCTCTCTCCTGTGACTCTCAGTAAGAGCAGGAAAGTTTCTCCCAGAAGTGCCCTCCGCCAGCGTGCCCTCGTCAGCTGAAACTGGGCCACATGTACGCTCATTTTATTGTCCCAACTGCAGGCTCTATTTAAAATATTTTAAAAACTTTTCCCTATTGCTCCCCCCTTATGGTTATAACACAAGTTTTGACAGGAAACAATAATTAGGACACATTTGTTTCTTTCTCAGAGATGGTTATGCTAAAACAGGGCATACTTAGAAACCCTCAAGGTAGCCTTGTATTTGGGTGCGGGCTGTGAACCAAAGGTCCTGGGTTCAATTCCCAGTCAGGGCACATCCCTGGGTTGCGGGCCAGGTCTCCAGTGGGAGGCGTGTGAGAGACAACCACTCATCAGTGTTTCTCTCCCTCTCTTAACTCCCTCCCTTCCCTTCTCTCTAAAAAGAAATAAAGTCTTTTAAAAAGAAAACCTCAAATGAATCTTAAAATGTGTTGAAAACCCTAACTCTAGGAGAGAAGGGTGAACCCCAGCAGGGTGGACCATGGCAGGGGCGTGCCCAGCTCTCCCGTGGGCAGGAGGGAGCTAGGAAGGGTGTGGGGCCAGTGGGGAAGGGCCAGCATGTCCTTGGAAGCCCATATGACGGCCGTATGTTTCTGTATTTTGTGTGACTTAAATGCTTTCCACGAATCTGTGCTGGTAAGTCACTTGTTACACAGCCAGCTCGCTGTTCCAGGAGATCTTTCCAGTGGCTGGAAAGATCATCACTGTTGGCTTCTCAGTGCTGCTGGTGCTCTCGAGTATGCAGGGAACAAAGCAAATGGCAATGCAGAGAAGAGGTCACAATCCTGTGCTGTGGCTACTAAGGCTCCATGGTTGACCGCCCCTCCCTGTCCCGGAGGACTCCGACAGTCCGTCTTTCTCCTTGGCCCTGACCTGACGTCCTCCTTTGGCCCCCGTCTATGTCTCCCAAATTCAGAGGCGAAGCCCACTTTCTTTGGGGCCAAGTATAAGAAAATAGTGAATTAGAGAAATATTGAAAGTTTTAAGATAACAGCTTTCCTCATGTTTACAGACATGAAGCAAATGATTGTTCTTGAGCCATTTGCCCGAAAAGAGAACGGGGTGGTGACCACTGACAGAGCCCAGCCGGGGTCTTCTCCTGGGGATGGGACCACCCCCCCCCCCGAATCAAGGGGGCACCGAGGCTCCGGAAGGACAGAGGGCAGGCCAGAAGTGGCCGCCTACCCCTGACACCTCCGTGCTCACTGATCACTGACCGTAAGTGCCCGATGTAGCAGTTACGTAGGGCTGCGTAGCAGACCACCCCCGGCGTAGCAGCTGAACCCGAGAGCCCGTGCGTCGGGGGCTGGAGCGCAGTTTAGCTGGGTGCTTCTGGTTTGGGTGTCTGATGAAGGCTGGGTGAGGGCTGGCCCAGGTGGGGGGCACCCCCACCTGGCTGGCATAACGGTGCTGTCCTTTCCACGGGGCTGCTGCAGCGACCTCCCAGCGTGACAGCTGCCTTGCCCAAAGCGAGTAATAGAGCGAGCACAGGGTGGAAGGCGCAATGTCCTTCAGGGGCCAGCCTTGGAAGTCACACGCGCCCGGTCCCACAGTACCCTACTGTTGCACAGGCCCATCCTGCTCATTTGGGAGGAGACCACGTGAACACCAGGTGGGGGAGCCCTGGAGTCGTCTCAGGGCTGCGGTTGTCCCCCCTCCTCTGCAGTTCTGCTCTCTGTGGTTTCAGTGACAGCAGTCGGCCTTAGTCCAAAAACACTGAGGTCCAGGAATCAACCATTCGTAAGGTTTTAAAAATGGATTTTCGAGAGAGAGAGGAAGGGAGAGAGAGAAAACATCAATCTCTTGTTCCACTCATTTATGCATTCACTGGGTCCCTCGTTTATGTGCCCTGACTGGGGATCGAACCCACCACCCTGGTGTATCAGGATGATGCTCTAAACAGCTGAGCTACCCGGCCAGGGCAAGGTGGCTTATGCCTCCAGATCTTTGCCCCCATGTGCATCTGAAAGATAAACTTCTCAAAGGGAACTTGCCAGGTCAAAGGGCATAGGCATTTTAAATCGAGGCAGGCTTTGCCAAATTCCTGTCCAAAGAGGTTACCCAACTTTACACTTCTGCCCAGCGGGAGCCAGCAAAGCCCGTCTCCCCACACCCTCGTCGCCACGTGGGCTTCTCCAGCTTCCGCCTCTGCTCATCTGCTAAGTGGACAAGGTTGCTTGTCGTGGTTATAATTTGAAAGTTATTCCAAGTTTCCCCTAACAAAGTAGGGGCCCCGTTCATGGTTTCATTTGACAAAATCACTTTCCACCTGAAAAAGCATCTCCCGGAGCTTTCTGTCTCACATGGGGGAGACTTTGCCCCCAGGGGTGCGTCTCTTGTTGACCTCGGCACCCATCGCCTCCTCCTGTCCCTGACTGTCACCGGTGTGGAGCTGCGCACTGCTGATTATCAGCTATGGCTGATGCGGAGGGAAGGGCAGAATCGTATACGCAGGGCCCCTGGCTCTGACACATGGTGACAACATGCCTCTATTTTAGAAAGTAAAGGCGCCACGCATCTCTCAGGACACTCAGCTATGGGTACAGCTTGTTCGTTTGCCCAGACAAGTGAGGGCTGTCACCCACCCTCCTCATCAGCGGCCGGTTCACCGATTTTCTCTCGGGAACCAGGACGGGTGCAGGAGCAGACCATGGCCTGAGCTGAAGTGTGCGAGGGGCGGCTAAACAAAGTGTGGTCCGTGCCCACAGTGGACGATTATTCAGCCATAAAAAGGCAAGTCTGACCCAGGCGACACCACGGATGGGTCTTGAGGATGTCAT